GGTAGTGTCGTTGTTATATTCCCTGTGTTTAAAAAAAAAAAAAAAAAAAAAAAGAACTCCAGCTTAGCAGCAATGGAAATGCCTGTAACCCTTTTCTGAAGGAATGAGAAATGGGTAATGTTAATGAAATCAAGAGCGAGGAAAAGTGGTGCAAAGAAGGTTTACTTAAAGAATCAGCCAGTTTGAGGAAAACTAAAAGATCAAGGATAGACCTAAATGAATAAATTCTGCTTTGTTTCTACTCTCCAGTCTTCTCCAAGTATCCCCATTGGTCTATCCAAGTAGAAGTCATAGCCTGCTAATGGAATCTGGATGGTCAGCATTTTAGGGTAGAAAAACCAAGTGGAAAACAGTAAACAGTAGATTTGGAAGAGCAAATAGCAGATACCTGGCACAAGTTCTTGGTGGCTGACTGATGTTTGATTCACAGTGTTATGGGGGTCCTGAAGTAGCCACTATGGAGTTTTCACTGGAACAGTACCAAAGTTCTGAACTAACTACAAATTTTCTGGCTGCATGATACACAAATTTTATTCTTTGAGTGAGATAATTCTTTGTGCAACCAATGCATTTAATAAATATTTTTCTGCTTACAAGTCATTCTATTGTTGGAAACGAATCTAATCACCACTAGTTTAAGAATGAGTGGATGAAAGAATTAATAAGTGAAAGTAACCTATGATCTTACTCACACGAGAAAAATCAAATTGAAGTGTAATATCAATGTAAAAATATGTTAACTTAAAAGACAAGAAATTTTGGTGACTTTAATAGTCAATATGGTAATAAATATAATTTGAAGTGACCAGTGTGCAATAATAACTTTTCTCATGTTTTCAATTTTTTTTATGAAGCAAAATTTACAATATTTCTTTTCAGCAGAGGAATATACATTCTTTTATTTGATAAATATTTATTCCCTTTGTTCCTTTCATCCTCCCCTTGACTCCTCTACTGACTCCCCTCCCTTAGTCTCTGGTATCTACAGTTATCCTTTCAACTATCATATCTTTGGATCTTTCAATTTCTACCATAGACTACAGACATTGGATATATATATATATATATGGAGAGATTTTTGCTATAGGGTATGTGTGCTCACCAGTGAGACAGAGAGAAACATAAGTGAGAAATCACTCCCTGGGGAGATGGGATGTTACAATCCCTTCTCCTTCATCCTCCTCTCAGGATCTTGGCACACGTGCATGCATACATGCCTGGTCTGAGTTTTAAGTCATTGGGTCCAGGACTCGAACTGTGATCGACTATGTGGGAGTCTAGTGATGTAACCATTAGGCCATCTGCTGGTCATGGCATTGTATATATATTGAGTGGAGGTATACAGTGTGTGTCTTTGAAAGTCTTGCTTTACTAATATTATTTATATTCAGCTATTTTGAAGAAAGCTAATAGAAGAGGGATAGACCTACATGAATAAATACCACTGTGCTTCTACTCTCCAATCTTCTCCCAATATCCTCATTGGTTTACCCAAGTAGAAGTCAAAACCTGCTAATGGAATTGTTTCTTATGACTCAGTAGTATTCCACTGTATATATCTGCCATAGTTTTCCAAGCTGGTCAACAATTGTTGGACACTTAGGCTGATTCCATGGCTTAGCAATTGTGAATGATGCTGCAAGTGTCTTTCAGACCGTTTTCCTATCCTTAGGGCAAATACCAAGGTATAGGATTACTGGGTTATATCATAGTTGCATTTGGAGATTTTTGAGAATTCTCCATATTGTTTCCACAGAGGTTATACTAATTTATTGATACATTCCCATCAACAGTGTAAGAGGGTTCCTTTTCACCACAGCCTTTCCAGCACTTGTTGTTCTTTAGTTTTTTGATCATAGCCATTCGACCGGGGTTAAACGGTATATCGTTATGGCTTTAATTTGAATTTATTTTATGACAAAAGACTTTGAATATTTTTTCATATACTTTTTTGGCCATTTGTATGTCTTCCTTGGAGAGTTGTCTATTCAACTCATTTGCCTATTTTTAATTGGATTGTTCAGGATTTTATGGATATATTGCTTGAGTTTCCTATATATTCTGGTTATAAAACCCTAGACTAAAGAATAATTTGCAAATATTTTCTCCCATTCTGAATGTTGTCTTCTCATTTTGTTTACTTTGATGTGAAGAAGGTTTTTCGCTTGATGTAATTGCACTTGTCTAATTTTAGGATTATTGCCTGCCTTTTTTCTTTTTCCAATTAATATTGTATTTTACATAAAGTTTCCATTAGGATGTATAATATATCTATATCTATCTATCTATCTATCTATCTATCTATCTATCTATATATAATTTAAGATAGAGAACTTCGTATTTTTTCATCTGTCAGATATTTTCTCTCTTTGCACATTACACACGTCCTCTATTATCCACTCTCTACCATCCACCCTCCCCTTTTACAGTCTCTAGCATCTATACCCATTCTCTCCATCATCACATCTTCAGATTTCTCAACCTCTGCCATAGAGTTTGGACACTTGATACAAGTTCACTGGGGATATACAATGCGTATCTTTCAATGTCTGGTTCACATTCCTCAACATTAAGTCTTTAATATTCATCTACTTTGAATCAAATCATAGGATCTCACTGTTTCTTATAACAGAAATATTCTATCGTATATATGTGTCACTGTTTTTCAACACAGTCATCACTTTTTGGACACTTAGGATGATTCCATGTTTTAGCAATTGTGAATAAAAGATGGATGTGCAAGTGTCTTTCAGATTGACTGTCTCACTATCCTTTGGGTAAATGACAAAGAGTGGGAAGACTGGATTGTTTGATAGTTCAATTTGTAGGTTTTTAAAGAACCACCATATTGTTTCCCACAGTGGTTGCACTAATTTACATTCCCACCAGCAGTGTAAGAAGATTCCTTTTCACCACATCCTCATCACTTTTTTAAAATTATGATTATTCTAGCCATTCTAACTGGGGTTAAGTGATATCTCATTGTGGTTTTAATTTGAATTTCTCATATGGCAAGAGACTTTGAACATTTTTTTTTGTAGGCCCTTTGGCTACTTGTAAGTTTTCTTTGGAGAGTTGTCTATTCAATTCATTTGTCCATTTTAAAACTGGATTATTCATTTTTTATGGGTGGCTGCTTGAGTTCAATATACATTCTGTATATGAATCCCTTGTCTGAGAAATAATTTGTGAATATTTTCTCCCATTCCGAGTTTTTTTTTTTTCACTCTAATTATTGTTTCTTTTGCTGTAAGTTTTTTAGCTTGATGTAATCCTATTTGTCTATTTTTGGAATTAGTGCCTGCACTTTAAGGTCTTATTTAAGAAATCTTGCCTACTCCAATGTTGTCAAAAGTAACCCCCATGTTTTCTACTAGTAGTTTTTTAGTTAGAGTCTTTATATTTAAATATTTATTCCATTTTGAGCTAATTATTGTTAATGGTAAGAGATAAGGGTCATTATATTTCTCTGCAAGTGGGTATCCAGTTCTTCTAGGACCATTTGCTCAAAAGACTTTCTTTTCTCCATATAACCAACTAATCTTGTACCATTTGTCAAAGATTAGTTGGTTGTATGATTTGGGTCTTATTTCAGGATTCTCTATTCTATGCCATTGGTATATGTCCCTATTTTTGTGCTAGTACTGTTCTATTTTGACTATCACTGCTTTGTAATATATTTTGAAGTCAGATAGTGAGATGCTTCCTATTTTATTCTTTGGCACAGTAATGCCTTGGTGATACAGGGTCCTTCATGATTCCAGACATATTTTATTCTTTTTCTATTTCTGTAAAGAATGCCACCAGCAATTGTATTGAAATTGCATTGAACATGTAAATTAATTTGGGTAGAACTCATATTTTGATGTTATTGATTAGGCCAGACTGGGTAGAGCTCATATTTTGATCTTATTGATTCTGTCAATCCATGGACACAGGATGTCCTTCCATTGTTTTTCGTATCATGCTCAATTTCTTTTTTCAGTTTTTCATAATTTTCCTTATAAAGGTCTTTTGTCTCTTTGGTTAGGTTTATTCCTAGGTATCTTATTTGTTTTGTGGTGATTATAAATGGGATTGTTTTATTCAATTCTGCCTCAATCTCTTCACTGTTGCTATAAAATGCTAGATTTTCGATGCTGACTTTTTGATATCCTGATATTTTCCTGAATTTATTTATCACATCTAGGAGATTTCTTTCTATTCTTTTGCATTTTCAATGTTTATAATGATACTATCTGAAAATAGGGACAGTTTAGCTTGTTTTCCTGTCTGAATGTTTTGCTCTCTTATTCAACTGCATTGATAGGACTTCCAATACTATGTTGAAAAGGAGTGTAGAAAGTAGGCACCTTCTTTTATTCCAGTTTTCAGTGGGAAGGCTTTTAGCTTTTCCCATTCAGTATGATGTTAGCTATGGGTTTGTCATAGATGACTTTTATTGTGTTGAAAAATGTTTCTTCTATTTCTATTTTGCTTAGAGTCTATTTTTTTTTTTTTTTGGAAAGGTTTTTGCTATAGGGTGCGTGTGCTCGTCAGAAAGACAGAGAGAGACAGAGAGATAGAAAGCAAGAAATCACTCCCCAGGAGGGATGACCACACCACAATCCCTTCTCCTCCATTCTCCTCTCGGGATCCTGGGCATGTACACACACGTACCTGGCATGAGTTTAAGCCACCGGGTTCAGGACTTGAACTGTGGTGGGCTACATGGGAGTTTGGAAACATAGCCATTACACTAACTGCTGGTCCCTTGCTAAGGGATGTTGTATTTTATCAATTGTTTTCTCTGCATCTATAGATATAATCACATGACTTTTAATCTTTCTTTCTGCTACCATGATGCAATACATTTATTGTTTCGCATATATTGAACCATCCTTGCATCCATGGGATAAAGCCTACCTGGTTGTGGTGTATGCTCATCTTAAAAGTACTAATATTTGCAATAGGGATATTGGTCTATAGTTATCTTTTGCTTGGTTATGTCCTTGTCTGGTTTTGGTATCAGGATGATGGAGGCTGCATAGAGTAAGTTTGGTAGGGTTCCTTCCTTCTGAATATTTAGAAATAGTTTGAGGAGAATAAATGTTAGCTCTTTAAAAGTTTTGTAGCATTTAGAAGTGGAGTCATATGAACCTGTGCTTTCATTTGTTGTTGATGGGAGACTATTTATTACTGATTCAATCTCATTTCTTGTTATTACTATGTTTGTGTTTTCTATTTCATCCTTAATCATTCTAAGTATTTGTACATGTCTAGAAGTATCCATCTCATCTAAGTTTTCTACTTTCCTGGCATGTAGATACTCATAGTATTTTCTCTCATAACTGTTTGTATTTGTAATATATTGGTTTTAGTAACACCAGCCTCATTAATGGATTACTG